ATCAAATTTAACAAGGGAGAGAGAAAGAGGAAAAGCATTGGGTATCTTTTCATTAACTCAGACTTGATTTCTTGGTCTCTAGGTCACTGTACAGTCCCGGATGATTTTCAGTTTGCTAAGTTGAGAACCCAAACCAACGAATCTGACTTTCCCATTGGGACAACTTTAAAGTATGAATGCCGCCCTGAGTACTATGGGATGCCATTCTCTATCACGTGTCTGGAAAACCTGGTCTGGTCGAGTCCCAAAAATGTCTGTAAACGTGAGTGACCCTGCACTGGAGCTTCCCAGTGTCTGCCAAAACATCTGTAGCATCTTATTTAATTTTTTCAAATTTTGTGTATGAAAAGCCTTTATTCAAAAGTATTTAGATAGGGGTATGTAAGAGTTGGTCTTGTAGGTCATACCTGATTATTGCTTGAAATGCTCATTTCATGAGAATGTTCCAAGGAATATTTGCAGAGAAAATCTCCATTTCCTATGGGAAAGTAAATAATTCATGACTCTAGACCAGGAAAAAAAATTATGTAAGGAGATATAAATTCTGTTTGAATAAGTAGGTGGGAAGAAATCCTTTGAGAACTTTAAAATATAGTGGTAGTATATAAGGCCATAAATGACTTACATTTTGATAAGGGATGCAAGGTGGAGATAAGACAGATCTGGAGGGAAGGTCCTTTTGAAAGTTGTGCTTAGAAGGTGGCTGACCCTAAGGCAGTCTGGTGAGTTTCCTCAAGGTGACAAATTGTGTGAATCATCAGAACTGCATACAGTCTTCAGTAAGCTACCCAAGGTGGGGCCTTGGGTACTAAAAAAAGTTCAGATTACCCTACCTGGCTTGAAAATTCTGTTTCTTTCTTACAGGTAGATTGTGTAAAATTCCTCCAGATCCTGTGAATGGCATGGTGCATGTGATCACAGACATCCAGTTTGGATCCACAATCAATTACTCTTGTAACCAAGGGTGAGTTGGCAGAAACATCTCTTGGTTCAAGAATTCTAGGACAGCAATACTGCCATCTAGTCGCATCTCAGAAAGCACAATTACCACCTGCTCTTAAAAGGCTTGAACGTGGGTGTTTAACTCCTAATTGACATGAACAAAGGTATGATGTGATTCAGGGCAAAGTCTGTATCCTTATGAAAAACTAGGGCAGTGCATATACGAAAAATGTGGCCTTCACCGGGTGGAAAGGAAGAAAATGGGCGAAGAGTGTAGTCAAAGCACACAAGCAGCCCTAACCCAGAGTAGACATTGCTGGAAGAAAGGGAAGGCCATGGAGCAGTTGTGGGAGAGAACACATCTTCACAGTAAAAGCATCACCCGTTTGCCAGGGCAGCTGTAGTGGAGGGCAGACATACCTCGTTTCATTGCACTTCACTTCTTGTGCATTGCTGATACTATATTTTTTTAAAATGGAAGGTTTGTGGCAGCCCCGCATCAAGTCAATCTCTCGGCACCATTTTTTCAACAGCATGTGTTCACGTCATGCCTCTGTGTCCCATGTTGGCAATTCGGACAACATTTCAAACATTATCATATATTATGTCTGTCATGGTGATCTGTGATAAGTGAACTTCAACGTTACTATTGTCATTG